GGCAGAGATGATCACTGTTTTCCTGTTTGTCATGTTTCTATAGTAAGATGTATTACAGGGGTAATTAAATATAAACCTTAGTTAATATAAATATAAACTAATGTTTATATTTAATTACTCATGTAATAAAAATAAGCAAAAGAACAATTTGGAGACCAGAACGCTCGTAATGTGCTACTTTGGCGCCCTCTCACCCATAATTCATATTTTTCCATAGTTTTCCATTTTCCATTATGGTTTTATGAGTGTTTTTTTATTTCCCCCCAACAGTATCTATTACTAAATTGACCACAAAAAATCCAACTAGTGGATTCTTCCGGGACGGTCAGCCCACACCCTGGCCCTACCCTCCTTCCGAGTTGTTCGTGTAGACCCAGGTACGTTTAGAAGGTGGTTTTTCCACATGCTCATAAAACTCTCCCCAAACCAAGACACGTAGATGGGGACTGTATCCCTCAACAAGTAACTTGCATTTAAACACACACGATCACGTCTAAGTTTTCCTCTATTGCAGGAAGCACAGCCTGAGGCTCCCCCAACACCAAACGTGGCGTCTCTTCCGAGCCCAGTCCCCCGACTCCCCGACACCGACTGCATGTCCAACAATTTAACCCAAATCTGACACTCACACCGGCATTAGTGCAGACCCCCAGGTCACAGGTTCAGTCCCAGAGGCCACCCCCACTTCCGACGCCAGCTCCGTGTCCCGGGTACCCACTCTTCTGACCGACCAGCTACAAACCGGGGGTTCCCACCAACCCCTCCGCCGGTCTGGTAAGTTGCCAGCATGGCCTGTGGAACTCAGGGAAACACTTTGCTCCCTGTAAGGACACAACTCAGGAACCGCTGATGGAGGGGGTGGGGTAGAACTTCCACGCCCTCAGGGTGCCCAGCCTCCCAGCCCTCCATGTTTCACCAGCCCGAAGCTCTCTGAACACAGTCATCTAAGGGGTTTTAGGGGCTTCTGTGGTGGTTCCATGACACGGGCACGACTGATTAAATCACCGGCCACTGGCAACTGATCCAACCTGCGGCCCCTCTCCTGCCCTGGAGCTCAGGGTGGGGCTGAAAGTTCCACCCCTCTAATCATGCCTTGATCTTTCTGGGCACCAGTCCCATCCTGAAGCCACCCCGGGGCCCCAGACACCAGTTGCCGCATCAGTGTACAAGAGACTCTTATTTGTCACTCAGAGATTCCAGTGTTTCAGGGGCTGCGAGTCGGGGACCAGGACAAATACCAGACACCGCGCAGCCTGGGGTTCGCGTTCGGCCTCACCCTGGTCCTCATTCTGGTTATGACGAGTCATGGCCCCGAGCGCCCACGCTGACGCAGGACAGCGATGCCAGCGGGGCTGCCACACGTGGGAACTCTGCACGTCCACTCAGTTTTGGGGTGAGCCTCACACTGCTCTAAAAAATTAATTGTTAGCTCAAAAAAAGAGACCTAAAGTATCTTTTTGATTACAGCACACACAGATTCTACTGAACTTCCTTTTATTCCCATCCCCAGCGCTGGGCTCAGCCGTGGTAGGTCTGAAGGGATGGCTTCCCCCAAGGGTGACTGGAACCTAAGGGCAGGGTCTTAACCCAACATGAGAAGAAACGGCTGATGGTGATGCTGCCGACGCATGGGCCAGGAGGCCCCTGGGACTTGGTGTTTTGGGACAGAAGTTGCAGGAACACAGGGAAACTGGAGGCCGACACCTGGGGAGGACCTGCTGACGCACCCCAGACCTGGCCCACGTTTCAGTTAGTGATTCCTAAACAAATAAAACACAACACACCCACTTTTCATAAAGTTCTTTCTGTTGATATAATCAGCACACGTGTTAGAAAACTTGTGGATGACACATGGCTGCATTCATTAACCACACAAAGTAAAACACACTTGGCTACAAAATTCCGTTCCTTTGGGTTTAAGCTCCAAAGTGCAAATCCATTAGGAGAGAGACGAGGTGCACCTTCTCCTGTGGTGGCACCTCCGCCAAGTCTCTGTCACTGAGGGATAGGGAACGGGGACCCATGGCCCCTCACACAGATATGGAGGTAAATGTGAACAATCACAGGTCTGATTCTGGGCCACGAAGCAAACACTCCTCTCGTTAAGTAAATTCAAAATAGTAGGTAGGATCTGTGAGATGGATCCATAAGAAAAGCACACTTAAAATGAAGAGATGCCATATTCACAAACCTAATTCTGGGTTCTGGTTCCAGAACAGGGCCCTGGCCTCTCTGGTCCTGAAGGCGTGGTAACGCGTCTGTCCATCTGTCATGCGCCTTACAGCCCCCAGGGCAGAAAGAGCCGAGTGACACCCACCCTCCTTCCCGCTTTCTTCCCTCCTCAGCACGTCTTCTTCACGTTCACAAGTGGGGGCTACTGGGCAGAAGAGACGTAGGAGTCAAGAGGTCTTCGGGCAAGGCTGTGAGGTCTTCATAGATACATCCCAAACGCAGGAGACCTGGGCCAGGGCTCTGGCCGAGGCAGCACACGCTGGAGACCAGCCTCCCCCCTGCAGCCACGGGGCCCCTGCTTCCCCTTCTTTACATCCCTTCCCAAGACCAGATGGGGCCTAAGAGGGGTCAAGTCTCTAAAAGCCATTCAACTCTCAGCCACTTCCATTCAAACCCACTGTCCCCACAGGCCTCCTTCCCTACCCACACCCCCATCACACCGCTGCCAGATGCACTGAAATGTGCACAAACACGGTTCCACCCGGACACCAGGGCATCATCCATCCTGGGTCTCGCCCTGTCTCTCTGACGGGTCCTGCAGCTGAGCTCGGCTCAGTTCAGATCAGCCTGCTGAGCGCGCCTCGCAGCCCTGGAGAAGCAGGGAACACGTCCTTCCTAAGAAGTCATTTGGAGGCAGGGACCACGGAAAAGTCAAGGCAAACTAATTTGCTTTATGGAAAATAGGCTCCGCCTTCAAAGAAAGTGCCAGGTGGAACCAACAGCTGGACGGGCTGGAGGGTGACAGCAGAGAGGAACCTCTCCTCCGCGGGACGGGGGACCCCAGAACGCCTGGGCCTTCCTCTCTGTACCCCTGCGAGATGTGACTTAAGTTAACAGAGACCCAGCACTCGGAGCCTGGGCACTGACAGCCTCGTTTCACGGGGGGGAACCCGGCTGAGCGGGAGAGTCCTCGGGGCTGTGCATCACTCCCTCCGCTGGGCACTGCCCTGGGGCCTCTGCGGCTACAGAGTCACCCCCCTTCCTGCCGCCCGCAGTGCCTGTCCCGCCTCCCCGCGCCCACATCTGCTCTGCTGCTAAGCCTCACCAAGTGCAGCGTACTTGTACTAACGTCCGAGCAAAAGACAGGAGGAAAGGCAGCGGGAAAACCGCGGTGTCCCCTCGCTGTCTACACCGTAGGCTTCCCGCAGGTCTCAGTGCTCGTGCTGCAAACCACTGAGCACATCCCCAGAGTGTGTGGGGTTGCCAACCACAGGCTAGCTTGCTACTCCCGCCTGTGAGGGTTGAACACAGCTGCTACACTTCAAAGCTCAAGTGTAAAACTGCCAATTACAAGCCAAAGCAAACCCTTCTTATCCAAAGGCCCTAACCCATGGCTGCTCTTCCTTTAAGGACACGGGGCACCCAGGCTTCAACGTCTGCTTCTGCAAAGCTTTCTGGGCAGGGGTGCTGGCCCAGCAGAGCCTCCGATTTCGGAAGAGGCGCCCTCTCCTGGCCAGTCCTTACCTCCTGAAATCCGGGTCCTGCTCCAGTCTCTGAGCCGAAGACCCTCCTCTGGGACTCTGCCCGTTGGGCCCCATCAGGAGGCAGCCCAGCTCTGGGAAGGACCTCCACCCAAAGCAGGGTGCCCCCGGCTCTTCCTGGAACAAAAGTCACCAGACTAGGGGATAAGATGGCTCATTGTATGATGAGCGACATCTAACCACCCACAGGAAAAGGGACCTTCTGATACACACGGCTGGTGCCGAAGCCCCTGAGACCTCCCATGAGGGGCGAGAGTCCCGGGGGTGCAATGAGCAGAGGCCAGGTGGGTGTGGGTGGAAAGGAGGCCTCTCCGTGAGGGTGGGCTTCCAGCCCCATAAACCAGGAACGGCTTCAGACAACACTCTCCTGCCAGGGTGGGTTCCCAGGCCTTAGCTCCTGGGGCTGACAGAGCCCTGCCGGTGAGCTAAGACCCGCCCTGGATGGGCTCCAGACAGACAGATGGCAAACCCCACTTGGGCAGCTACGGGGATTTTAGTGGGGGGCCATTCCGAGAGCCGGGTTGGGGGCCAGTGCAGCACCTGGGTTGGTAGGTTGTAAGGGCCAGTGAGGGCCCACACCCCAGGGACAGGGTGGGTGGTGTGGACAGGGCTGGCCTTCGCCCGAGGGCAACAGCCTGGCTGGGGCACCCACGGGGAGAGACCTGGGGGACAGACGCTGGGGGCCACGCAGGGGGCACTCTGCTGGGACCACCAAGGGATGTGAACCCGGGAAGCTGAGGCAGAAAGGAGTCAAGGCTCACCTTGGAAAG